GCCAGGGGTGCCAGGGGTGCGAGGGCCGGGTGATGGGGTGCCAGGGTGGCAGGGGAGGGAGGGCCGGGTGCCAGGGGTGCCAGGGTGCCAGGGGAGGGATGGCCGGGGGTGCCAGGGATGCGAGGGCCGGGTGCCAGGGGTGCCAGGGGTGCGAGGGCCGGGTGATGGGGTGCCAGGGTGCCAGGGGTGCCAGGGGTGGGAGGGCCGGGTGATGGGGTGCCAGGGTGACAGGGGAGGGATGGCTGGGGGTGCCAGGGGTGCGAGGGCCGGGTGCCAGGGGTGCCAGGGGTGCGAGGGCCGGGTGATGGGGTGCCAGGGTGCCAGGGGTGCCAGGGGTGAGAGGGCCGGGTGATGGGGTGCCAGGGTGCCAGGGGAGGGAGGGCCGTGTGCCAGGGGTGCCAGGGTGCCAGGGGAGGGATGGCTGAGGGTGTCAGAGGTGCCAGGGGTGCGAGTGCCGTGTGACAGGGGTGCCAGGGTGCCAGGGAAGGGATGGCTGGGGGTGCCAGGGGTGCGAGGGCCGGGTGACAGGGGTGCCAGGGGTGCCAGGGGTGCGAGGGCCGGGTGCCAGGGGTGCCAGGGTGCCAGGGGTGCCAGGGGAGGGAGGGCCGGGGGTGCCAGGGTACCAGGGTGACAGGGGAGGGAGGGTCGGGGGTGCCAGGGGTGTCAGGGGAGGGAGGGCCGGGGTGCCAGGGGTGCCAGGGTTGCCAGAGGAGGGAGGGCCGGGGGTGCCAGGGGTGCCAGGGTTGCCAGAGGAGGGAGGGCCGGGGGTGCCAGGGGTGCCAGGGGAGGGATGGTTGGGTGCCAAGTGTGCCAGGTGAGGCACAGCCAGATGTGCCAGGTGAGGGATGGCCGGGGGTGCAGGGACACCAAAACTCTTCAGGGACACCCAACGCTGTTCAGGGACACCAAAGCTGTGCAGGGACACCCAAAGGTGCTCGGGGACACCCAAGGGTGCTTGGGGAGCCCCAGACCCCCCCGGTGTCTCCCCGCAGTACCTGGAGGAGGGGGGCGTGGGCTACGTCCTGAGCGGCGCCGGCAACTTCATGGAGGACTCGCAGCCCCACGCGGGCTCGGTGCCCCCCGGCGCCCTCCGGTTCTTCTACGGGAGCGCCGCCAGCCCCGGCGGCTTCGCCCACGTGCGCCTGGAGCCCGCCGCCGCCACCGTCACCTTCCTGGAGGCCACCGGGCGCGTCCTGCACCGCGTCACGCTGCCGCCGCGCCACCCGTGACCGGGACCGGGGACGGCGGAGAGCGGACAGCGGGGCACCGGGACAGCGGGAGAGCGGGAGAGCGGGGCAGGGGGACACCGGGAGAGCGGGACACCGGGACAGCGGAGAGCGGGGACAGCGGGAGAGCGGAGGGCGGGGCACGGGGACACCGGGAGAGCGGGACACCGGGACAGCAGGACACCGGGACAGCGGAGAGCGGGGACAGCGAGACACCGGGAGAGCGGGACACCCGGAGAGCGGGACATCTGGACAGCGGGGACAGTGGGGACACCAGGACAGCGGGACACGGGGACACCGGGATCCGTTCCCTGGGGACATCGGGAACACCGGGACCCCTCCCTGGGGACGCCCCGAGACCGCCGAGTCCCCCCGGGGGACACCGGCACCGCTGCCTTCGGGGACATCCCGTCAGCTCTGACCCCTTGGGGACACCGGGGACCGGACACTGCCCGCCGGCCCCGCCCGGTTGCCCCGTGCCGCCAATAAAGGCTTTGAAGGGCGCCGCCGGACCCGAAACCACCGCGATTCACCCCAAAACCGCGATGGGCGGGGTCCGGCAGGGCTGGCCACGCCTCCCACCCGTTGATTGGCTGAAATGCGCGTCCATCACTCACTGAGTGGGCGGGACAGAGTCTCTCGGTTCGCCGCTGGTGATTGGCTGGGGCGCTGTTCTTATCAACCAATGATCGGGGCGTTTTCTGGTCACGTGGGGCAGAGCGCGCCGTTCCCGCCGCTGATTGGCTGAGGGCGGAGGGGCGGCACTTCCGGGATCGCGGCGGGAGCGCGGCGTGAGGACCGGGAGGGACCGGGGGGCACCGGGGGACACCGGGGGAGGGTCCAGCCGTCCTCGGCACGTCCCGCAGCGGGTCGGGGCCACTCCGAGCCGGCTCCCGGGGCCGATCCCGGCGTGGTTCCCCTTCCCGAGGCCGTTCCCGGTTCTGGGCTCCGGTGCGGCCGCCATGGGCCGCCGCAAGTCGAAGCGAAAGCCGCCGCCCAAGAAGAAGATGACGGGGACGCTGGAGACGCAGTTCACGTGTCCGTTCTGCAACCACGAGAAGTCCTGCGACGTCAAGATGTGAGCGCGGGACACCGGGCACCGGGGGGCACCGGGGACGGGACACGGGGATGGGACACGGGGATGGGCAGCAGCGCGGGAAGAGCGACGGAGAAACCCGGGGGGGAAGCGGAGAGCGGAGACATGGACGGGGACACCGGGCGGGGGTGCCGGTACCGCGGAGGGGACACCGGGCGGGGGGACACCGGGAATGTGGCGGGGGGGATCGGGACGGAGCCCGGAGGGGTCACGTCCGCCCCGTGCCTCGCAGGGACCGCGCCCGGAACACCGGGGTGATCTCGTGCACCGTGTGCCTGGAGGAGTTCCAGACCCCCATCACCTGTATCCTTACCGGGACCCCTCCCGGGATCCCCCCGGGACCCCCCCGGGACCCCCCGAGTCGGTGTTGGAGCCTTAACGGCGCCGCCAGACCTGTCGGAGCCCGTGGACGTTTACAGCGACTGGATCGACGCCTGCGAAGCCGCCAACCAGTGACCCCGGGGGGGCGGCGGGGACACCGCCCGCTCCCCAAACTCCCGGCGGGGTCAGGGACCCCCCCCCGGGCCCGGTGACAGCCCCGGAGCCGGTGCGGGGGTGGCATCCCCCCCTCCCCCCGCGTCCGGCACTTGTCCTCGTCCCCGTGGGGACACCGGGGCGGGGGGCGACGCGTTTGGGGACAGCGGCCCCGGAATAAATGCCCCGAGTGGTGGCCCTGGTCCTCCCTGTCCCTTTGTCCCCCATTGTCCACCCCGTCCCCGCCGCCCCGGTGTCCCCCCGGTGTCCCCTCGGTGTCCCCCGGTGTCCCCCAGCACGGTCCCACGGCGCTGTCACCTCTGCGTGTGGCTTTTATTGTGCCTCGGTGGCTTCACACGTGGCGGGGCCCGAACCCCCCGGGGCCGAACCGGGGACCAAACCCGGGGGTGATCCCGGGACTGAACCCGGGGCCAGCCCAGCCCTGGCCCCGCCCGGGGCCGGTCCCGGGATCGTCCCACCGGGGCCGGTGCCGAGTGCTGCCCCCCCCACCCCGGGAGCCATCGCGGGGCCGATCCCGGGGCCGGTTTCCCCTGGGATTAATCCCGGGGCCGGTTTCCCCTGGGGCAATCCCGGGGCTGGTTTCCCCCAGGGCCGATCCTGGGGCCGTTTTCCCCTGAGATCGATTCTGGGGCCGATCCCAGGGCCGGTTTCCCCCGGTGCCAGCCTCAGTGCTAGCCACGGGGCCGGTCCCCACAGTGCCAGCCCCGGGGCCGATTTCGGTGCCGGTTTCCCCTGAGATCGATCCCAGAGCTGATCCCGGGGCCGGTTTCCCCCAGTGCCAGCCCCGGGGCCGGTTCCCCCGGGGCTGATCCTGGAGCCGATCCCGGGGCCGGTGCCCCCGGTGCCAGCCCCGGTGGCGGCTCGGCGGGGCGCGGTGAGGCCGGTGACGAGCGGTGTTGGGGTGCAAGCGGCCGCGGGCCGGCGGCTACTGGGAGTTGTAGAGGCCGTCGTGGCCGTCGAGGCCGTCGTGGCCCAGCAGCTCGGGGCCGCCGCAGTACTTGGGGTCGTAGACCTGGCGCGGCAGGCCGTACACCGTCATGCCCTGCTGCGAGGCGCCCTTGTTGCTGCCCATCTGCAGCCCGATGGTCAGCGTGTCGCAGTGCTCCATGCCCAGCGCCGGCTCGAAGATCTGCCGCTTCGTCCCCGGCGCCGTCATCCCCGCCTGGCCGGCGGGAACGGGCTCGGGTCAGGGACGGGTCAGGGACGGGATCGGGGCAGGGACGGGCTCGGGTCAGGGACGGGATCGGGGCAGGAACTGGCTCCGGTCAGGGACGGGATCGGGGCAGGGACGGGATCGGGGCAGGGACGGGATCGGGGCAGGGACGGGATCGGGGCAGGGACGGGATCGGGGCAGGGATGGGATCGGGGCAGGGACGGGATCGGGTCAGGAACGGCACCGGAACGGGGACGGGGCGGGGCGGGGACGGGATCGGGGCAGGGATGAGCTTGGGGCAGGAACCAGCTCCAGTCAGGGACGGGATCGGGGCAGGAACTGGCTCCGGTCAGGGACGGGATCGGGGCAGGAACCGGCTCCGGTCAGGGACGGGCTCGGGGCAGGAACTGGCTCCGGTCAGGGACGGGATCGGGGAAGGAACCGGCTCCGGTCAGGGACGGGATCGGGGAAGGAACCGGCTCCGGTCAGGGACGGGATCGGGGAAGGAACCGGCTCCGGTCAGGGACGGGATCGGGGCAGGAACCGGCTCCGGTCAGGGACGGGATCGGGGCAGGAACCGGCTCCGGTCAGGGACGGGATTGGGGCAGGGACTGGATCGGGTCACGAATGGGCTCCGGTCAGGGACGGGATCGGGGAAGGAACCAGCTCCAGTCAGGAACGGGCTCGGGGCATGAACAGGCTCGGGGCAGGGACGGGCTCAGGGCAGGAACCGGCTCCGGTCAGGAACGGGCTCGGGGCGGTGGCCGCGGGCACCCCGAGGGGCTCACGGCCACCCCGGGGCTGTGGGGGGATGCTCGGGGGTTCCTTCGTTCTGCTCCCCGTGCTGCCCGCAGGGTGTCTGTCCCCTCCCTGTCCCCTCCCTGTCCCCAGAGTCCCTCTGTGCCCCCCTCAGAGCCCCTTTGTCCCCTGCTCCGCTGTCCCCGGGGCTGCCTGGGCCACCGGCCGGGCCGGTGGCACCTCAGGGTCCCCGGCTCTGTCTGTCCCCGCTGCCCGCGGGCTCTCCGCTCCCTTTGTCCCCCTAACCCGGGACATCCAAGTCCCCTGGTGCCATCTCTCCCTGTGTCCCCATGCGGTGGCAGTGTCCCCATAGGGTGGCACTGTCCCCTCATAGTGGCAGTGTCCCCATGTCCCTATGTCCCCCCGTGCTGGCAGTGTCCCCATGGGGTGGCAGTGTCCCCATGGGGTGGCAGTGTCCTCATGGAGTGGCAGTGTCCCCCTGTCCCCCCGTGCTGGCAGTGTCCCCATGGGGTGGCAGTGTCCCCGTGGAGTGGCAGTGTCCCCATGTCCCCGTGTCC